GGAGTAAGACCTTAATTAGCTTTAAAGATGGAGTTTGACCAAATGATGAAAGCAATTGTGCTTGCCTGAAACTGGGGGGGACTGGACTTTGACTTGGGAGATCTCTTCCAATCCTATGTTCCTTACTGTATGGTTAAAGCATTCACCCAGGATGTGAGGCACCCAGGTTTATTTCCATATTCTGGCAGAGGATATTTGAATTCACATCTACCTCATCTCAGCACTGTCCTAGACTGACCGACTGTTCACTTTTATGGAGTAGGGCTGCCTCCAGGTCTCTTGTTGATCCCCTTGCATTTTATGCTCATTCATTGAGGCAGGGGCTGGAATCCAGGTGTCCTACTTCACATGTGAAAGTCCTAATCACTGGACTACAGAGCCATTTTCTCTCTGACTCAAGCTATTCAAGTCTTTTATCCAAAGTGGCTATGCTCTAGCACAGTAGTCACCAACAGGTAGATCACGATTGACTGGTCAATTGTGGAGCCTCTGACAGCTGATTGGGGGCTGAGTGCAGAGGCCCGTGGGCACGGATCTGTGCATGGGGCAGAGGCGGCTGTTATTGCAGACTGGTCTCTGAGCCCCTAGTTCTGCTGCAGCTGCCCAGGGAGTGACACAACACCACATGCATCCCACCGCCGGGCAAGCAGGAGGCGTGGCTCAGGTAGATCCTGGGTTGCACTGTCATTCAAAAAGTGATCTTGTGCTTAAAAAGGTTGGAGACCACTGCTCTAGCAGGAGGGATTAAGAGAGCATGACCTCAGGCTACCCTCTAACCTGCTGGCTAGGATACTCCCTCAGATATAGAAAACTATGGGCATCTGTAGACTACACAGGGGTTTAAATTGAAGTGGTGTTTTTTCAAAAACACTGCTTCAGTTTAAGGTGAAGTAAGCCCCTGTGTCATGTACACCCATGTCCTTACCTGCCTCTGGTGGCGGGGAAGTGAGAGCAAGCTGCCAACAAACCAAGTAGTCCCTGAGCTGCAGGGGGCTGGGGTGGGGGGCTGGTGCTTCCCTCAGTGGCAGTAGTGGCCCCCCCACCAGGCAGCACCCTCGGGATCAGGTGGTCCTGGGGGGCACTGCAGCTGCAGAGGGAAGCACCAGGCCCCCACACAGCTCAGGCAGGCAGGCAGGCTCCAGGGAAGGGGTGGGGGGGATCTGGTTCACCACTTTTTTCTTTTTTTTTAAATTTTTCCCTTCATTGCAACCTGCCTTCCCAGGCTGCTGCCGGGCTGTCTGCTAGGGCTGTCTGCACAGCTCCTGGGCCTCATGGAACCCAGTGATTCCCTCTGCGGCTGTAAGGTAGCAAACTAAAAGTCCTCGGAGGTGTTTTAGTTTGTTTCTCAAAGTCATTGACCGCACCCCAAAGTCATTTAAGGCGCAATACACTGCCAAATTTGCAAACTCGTGCGAATAGCAACACCATTAAAATGGTGCAAAAGGGCATTTAACCTGCTTTAATGTGTCGTCTACAAATGCCCAACAATTCAAGTCCCTGCCCTAAACTTGGCAGGAAATGGATTTTGACTTGTCTCACTCTTGAGGAGAGTGCCCTCTATCCTAGTGGTTAGTGTAATCTGAGGGAACAGGGTTCCCCTCCACACCCCCCCGGACCTGTTCCACTTTGTGTAAAATATTTGGTCTCTGAGATGGGAAGAATAAATCTGGTGGTGCTGAGGTCATCACCTAAGACTGGGATACCTGAGTTACAGTCCTTTGTTGTTGTTGTTGTCGTCAATGTTTAACTGTTTATACTAAGTGGAACGGCAGCAGCAGAGGGATTGAGAGCTTTCTCCAGAACAGTATTTCTCAACCAGTTGCCATTAGGGCCTTTTAACAACAATGCCCCACTGCTGCTCTGTGTCATAGAATCATAGAGAAATAGGGCTAGAAGGGACCTCCAGAGGTCATCATCCAACCCCCTGCCAGAGGCAGGATCATCCCTATCCAAACCATCCTTTACAAAGCTTTATCTAAATTTTGCATAAGACTACAGTCAACTCTGACACAACATAGACTTAACACCACAGCTTGCCACAGGTAAAACAAGGGAACCATGAGAGGCAACGTCCTGCTTCTATGAAATGTTGTTAATATATGCACAAGAGATCCTGGGTCGAGAGCCACGTCCCCAGAGGACAGCAAAAACCCCCACAATCCATACCAACCTGACCCTGGGGTAAAATTCATTCCTGACCCTAAATATAGCAATTGGTCTGACACTGAGCAGAGGGGCAAGACCCAGTGGCATTGGTCCCAGCAGAGGGGCAAGACCTAGCCAGAAACCTGTGGCATTGGTCCCAGCAGGAGCCCAGTCAAAGTCCCCAGCCTTGGCTGTAGCCAACACCCAGTGCCTCCAGGAAAGCTTAAAAACACCCTGACATAGAGGGGGGAGGGACAATGAGCAAAGTAGTACATAGATGTAGCTACACCTAGATCATCCCTGGCAGTGGCTGTTCAGTCTCTTCTCGAACACCTCCAGTGGTGGAGAATTCACAACTTCCCTAGGCAGTCTGTTCTACTGCTTCACTATTCTAATAGCGAAGAAGTTTTCTTGATGTCCAATCTAAACTTATGTTGCTGAAACTTCAAGCCATTGGTCCATGTCTTCCTTTCTGCAGCAAGAGAGAAATGGTGTTTTCCCTCTTTATGGCAGCCCTTCAAGTATTTGAAGACTGCTATCACATCCCCTCTTAAGTGCCTTTTGCGTAAGCTGAACATACCTAGCTCCTTCAGCCTCTCTTCTTATGACTTGCCTTCTGAGCCCTTAATCATGTTTGTTGCCCACCTCTGGACCCACTCTAACTTCTCCACGTCCTTTTTGAAATGCGGAGCCCACACCTGCACACAGTACTTTGGATGAGGACTAACCAGGGCCAAGTAGAGAGGTGCTATCGCCTCCCAGGTCTTGCATCTAATGCTTCTATTGATGTATCCCAAACCCACATCTGCCTTTTGCATGGCTGCATCACGCTGCAGACTCATATTGAGTCTGTAGCAGGGTTTGAAATACAAGGTGGACTTGGAGAGGGGAGTAGAGGGGGGGCTGAGCCCCTCCATAAGAGAGATGAGATCCTCCCATAAGCCCCCCCATAACAGACAAGAGTCCCTGGCCTACCCCATGCCTTTCTAAGCAGCTCAGGTGGTGGCAGCAGCTCCTTCCGCCTGCCACCACCACAGACTCTTCCCCCACCCCCACAAGAGTCAGAGCATAATTTGAACCGAGACACCCAAGTCCTTTTCCATAGTGCTGCCATCCAGCCAGATGTCACTAATTTATATTTATGCTCTAGCCCAACTTTTCCAATCTGTCAAGATCCTTCTGAATTGTGCTTACATCCTCCATGTTCACAGTCCTTCCCAGTTTCATGTCACCTGCAAACTTGCTCAAGGAGCTTTCTATGCCAGCATTCAGATTGTTAATACATACATTGAACGTTTCCTGGAGACACTGTGAGGGCTGGACTGGAAAGCAGCTGGAACCAGAGGGGTGCCATGAGGTTGCTGCTGTGAGTGTGTCTGAGAGCCCAGACCAGTAATGTTACAACCCCTGCCCCTGAGCTTCCAGAATGGTGGTGGGGGAGGTGAGAGAGGGGACATTTCTTTCTTGCATGGGAAAAGTGGCTCTCTGCCCAGATCTTCAGGACTGAGAGCCACTGCCGTAGAGCCTATTGGTTAGGTTATTCTCATAGGAGCTGTGGGTTCATTTTCCCTCAGGTCTCTCACATCCTAAGCAAATGCCCTAACCACTCAGATATTGGATGAAAGAGGAGTAGCCACTCCATCCTCTGGCAATTTTCCGATTCCAGCCCCCAACTTCATTCAGTGACCTTGACCTGAACACAGGAATGGAGGACCCAAATTACATTTTTCCATTAAGTTTACTGTCCAACACAAATTTTGCCCAGTTCTAATGCTGAGTCATGGAATAGCCTAAAGGGTAGATGCCTTGTCCTCAGACTCCCTAGTCTCAGCTCCCTGGTGTAAGCACCTAGATTAATACTGGTTCCTGGCAAATAATAATGACTAGCCACAACATCAAATACCTAACAGCAACAGCCCATCAGGCTGCAATTGTGTCTGGTCAGCCATATACTCAACTAGTTCTTCTTGAAGAAGAGCAGGCTTTCCTTGGCAAGAAAGGATTCTGGTGGTTTATTTCCAAGAAAAGTACTCTCAGGGCTGTTGGAAGAAAAAACAAAAAAGTCACTTCTGCAAGGATTGACCTAAGAGTACCACTGGGGTCTCAACATCATAGCAAAAACATATCATTTAGGCAATGCTTTCTGCCAGAAATGCTTCATTAACAAAATACCAACAGGTCACCTGCTTCAGCAGAACCTGTTCATGCATCCACCCAAGTTCTGTCCCTGCTGATGGCCACTACCATGACACCAGGGGCCTTTGCCACCATGCAGGCTGCTGGAGGAAGGAGTTCTCGTGTGCCTAGCTCTATTACTGCATCATAAACTTTGGAGAGAGATAAAAGAATGATCCTACATGAGTGCGCTCCCTTTCCCTTCCATTTCAAAGTGTTTTCCAGCACTTGTCATGGAGGCTTCCTCTCTCAGAAAAATGTATGTTGTTAATACTTAAAATACACAAGGTGGAATCACACTGCGGATGTTTGTTTCATGTCTACAGTGCTTGGCTTCCTGATATGAGCTGGGCTTTGACCAAGACCTTACAAGAACAGCTTTTGTTGTTGTCATCATGTTTTTACTGGAACCAAGGAAGCGTTTTGGTTTTGATTTGGGGTTTTTTGTTGTTGACGATGAACAGCTATTGTTCCTCACTTAAGTAGCATGTTGGAGTTGAGGTAAAAGTTCTGGTCAGTTCTGACCTTATATCAAAATCTTAAGGGAGCATCTATTAATGCTCTGTGGTAACAAAACAAAACAAAAAACCCCCTCCAGATGCTGTATTATTGCTGTAGCCTGGTAGGCACAGCTGTTTCTTGGATGTATCCTGGCTAGATTCCAATATGGGCAATTACATTCCTCCTCCCTAAGCTTCCCTTGTAGTGTCAACTGATGCTATAACACAAGAAGGATTGCCAACCCCAGGCTTTCTAAAATCCTGAGTTAGACTTTAAAACTGTCATGAAAATGGATTAAGAATCAGGATCTCTTTTAAGGTACTGTACTGCATTCAGAGTCTTGTTTATTTGCCTGCTAGCTTTTGGACCTTTAGGATTTTTTTTGTTTTGTTTTCAAACTTTTCTCTCCAGCCTGAGGGTTAGAAACTTAATTGTAAAAGAAACCATCAGAAACTTTGAAGCTGAAGGTGCTGCACATTCAGAGAATGCTAGGGCCTGAGCTTTTAAGAACATCCTCAGACAGGAGGCTTCACATAACTGTGTGAGTGGACTACACTGCAAGAGTGATGACTATTAGTCAAAGGAGAATTTGAAAAGGTGTGTGGAAAATAAGTTCTCCAGGGGCACCAACCTTGTGTAGTTTTATGCTGCAACAAGGGATGGATGTGTGGAAAGGGCTCTTTTGTTATGTAGTGATGTGCTACGTCCTGAATCTTTAAATAGACAGGGTTTTGCTATTAGCAGAGGCAAGGGGCCATTTGTGCCCATTGCAGTGCAGACCCCTCCCATGTTTCTGTGTAGACTATGTTGTCCTCATAGTGGTAACTTGGACAGAAAGGACAATGTTACCCCTTCTGTATAGGAACACGTAACATCGCTCGTTCCTTTTTAGCACATGCTGCCATGCATCTGAGGGTGGCATGCCATCAGAGGCCAGCTTGTCAGCTGTCACTTGCTTTTTTGTTTCCTGAGCAAACCTCTCTGCTTTTGGAAGCTCCGAGGTGGTCAAGAGTGTGAACTGTGAGAGCAGCTCTCAGGATTTTACCACTATCTAGAATTCTGGTTCTTGTCTAAAAGCCCCATCTCCTAGACTTACATGAATGCATGAATGTCTCAGCCTTACTCGGAAAGTAACCTAACACCTCTCATGATTGCAGATTAGCACTGGAGAAGGGTGACTATAAAGGCTAAAAATCAGAAGGCAATTTAAAAAAAAAGCAGCCAAACATCATTTTTAAGCCAATCTCATGATTTTGTTCAGTGCTTGGGGTTGGAGGTACTGAGAATGGCATGACGTCACTACTGATGTGAAACCTGCTTTATGGATAACCAACTGGATCCTTAAATGTATTTTTACATTTATTTTGTCCTGGACAAGAGGACCAGATCAGGAGGTGAAGAAGAATTTGTTTTCCAGATCAAAGAGTGAAAAATAAATCGAGATCACTGTTTATGTTAGCTGTATTAGTACCTGTTATGACTGGATACAATAATGTTTTCCCCTTAATGGACTCTGCCAGCTCCCTTTCCCCAGAGCAAGTTTTGCACTTGCTAGGTTATTTTTATAGTAGAGTTGGAGCATTGTTGTTGTAGCTATGATGATCCAGGATCTGTACAATGGCAAAATAATTTTTTGATACCTTTTACTGGACCAGCTGTATAGTTGGGAGAAATGTTGGCCAAGCTTTCAGGCACAGCCTGTATGTTTTGGTTCCTTAGACCTCAGGAAGCGTACTTGATGCCTGAGTGCTTGTCTAACAACTCTTCTAACTATATGGTTGGTCCAGTAAAAGATATCACAAAATCCATGCTCTTCATAGGTTTTTTTTCTAGTTAGTTTTTCACAGGTCATGAATTACATCGTATAGGAGAATAGGGTACAGGAAAAAAAATAGGGGTCAAAGCTGTTATCATCTCTGGATAAGTAGCTGAACTTATAGAGTGCTGGTACTTTCAGATCCAAGGGGGTCTGATTTAAAGCCATCGGCAGCAGGGGGCTGCTTTGAATTAGATTTGGATTCTAATCTCTTACAGTTTAGAGAAGTATTGACAATAGACTGTGGTTCAAGCCCATCTCTAATTTCAAAGAAAATTGAATATTTTAGTTAGACGTGGGAAACTGTGAATAGCTGTCCACATCTGTCTGTCTGTCTGTCTGTCTCTTGATTTGCAGCCTGCAGTCACAGCAAAACCAATTAAGGGGCCCACCCCAGCAAAAACTTTCAGCATAGTCTGCACGCACACTACGGGACCTGGAAACCATCCCAAATCCAACTTGTCCATGTGTGCGCAGTTACAACCCTGGCTTTCTAAGGCAAAACAGGAAACTCATGAAGAAATGTTGAGGCTGAAGGGGTTAAGTGAAATCTAACTCTCCTTTTCCTGTGCAGTAAGGATTAGTAACCAAACAGAAGTTGGGGAGAGGAGGGTGTTAGAGCCACTGATTGAACTAGAGGAGTGGGAAAGTGAAAAAGACAGCCTGGCTATAGGTTTAGTACCTCTAAACATTGACTCACCTTCAAACAAGCACATGAAAAAGGTAAGACTTAACCTTGAATTATGGTTTTCATTCCTCTTGCTCTTCTCATCTTCAGCATGTCTAACTGTCTTTCCTTTGTTGTTTGTGCTTTTATTTCCAACCACTTTAGCAGCCTTGTTAAAGTTTGAAGAACAAGAGGAAGGTGGAGTGTTTGCTGAATGAAGCCTGTGATTGCAAAAATGAGGTTTTTCTGGCAGGGAAGGAAAGGAGAAGGAACTCTACACTTTCAGTGAATGTTAATCCCTTCTGTCTTCACAGTTAATTATTCCAGTGCTTAATGTAATCAAATACCTATTACTCATAGTCCTGTGGAGAGGGGGAAAGTATTTGATATGGAGTTGGTTGAGTCCATCTGGGTCGAAATGTATAACTGCATCCTGCTAGCATGAGTATAGAAAGAAATACAGGTTTGAGTAAGGCTTGAGCTGGCAGTTATTTTGGGGGGGGGGGGGGGGG